TCTGGCCAGCCCCCAGCCCGCTGTCCGCCCTGCTCCTCGCCCGCCTTCGGGCTCTCACCCGCTGGTCGTCCTCCCACTGCTGCCGCTCCTCCTCCGTCTCAAAGGCAATGCCCTCCTCCCCATCGGCACGCCGCCCTGGCGGGATTGAGCTGGTCAGTCCGGGCACCGGCCCTGCTGCCGCTCCAGAGGAAATACCACAGAGCCAGACCTTGGGCTGCGCAGGGGAAGGGGATTCCACCGCTGCCCAGCCTAGGCAGCTCAGCCCAGGCTCCTCACCTCTTCCTCTGGACAGCCGCGGCGTGGCCCCCAGGTGTCTCCGGTCGTCAGCCCACTCGTTGTATTTGTACGACGGGGTGGGCAATGGCGTCTTATCCGAGTACCTGCTCCTCACAGACCTGAAAAAACAGCACGATGGAGGAACTGGTGCCCACGGCCAGGCACTACTCTTACACACACTCTCCCCTTTCTGCAGCTCGACAGCTCATAGCCGCAGCCCCAGGCAGTGATACCTGTCCCGGTCTCTCCGGTCTGTGTCCCGCAGCGATGATGCCCGGTGGCTGCGCTCTGAGTCTCGACAGGAAGGCATGGGTGAGGGAGATTCCCACTGTGAGCGGTGAGCGTTGCTGTAGCCACTATCATCTTCCTCCCAGCTGGAGCGAGATGGCGTGGCTGCATCTAGCAGAGGAGATGGGGTTTGACACCTGATGTTCAAACAGTGACCCCAGACACTTGGAGCCACCTTACACCTTCTAGCAAGGAGCACAGAGAGAGGGTACCCATTTGTCCTCCCTCTAAGAGAAGGGGCTGACCCAGTGATTCCAAGGAAAACTGCCAAAGGACCACATTTCTATCACATAGACCCAGAACAGACCCCACTGCGCAGAGATCAGCCAGACTTTCACACACACAGCTGGCAGATTGCTCCCAGACCCAGGTCAAGCTAGGAGTTTTATGCTTGCCCTAACCACAAATGTTAGAACATACAGGCTTTTCTACACATGCTTGTCCTGACAAAAACAGCAGGAAACAAAAACAAACAAACAAACAAAAAAAGAACAAGCCCCTTCCTGTTAGGTCTCACACAAGAACTCTACTGAGTCCCAATCCTACCTTTGGGCCGATGTCTGGGACTCTCCGGTTCACTCCTCCTGCTGCTCCGCTCTGATGAGCCATCCCTCTCTGATCTGCTGCTGTAACGACTTCTGTCCCGCTCCTCTGCAAAAAGAAAGTAAGATCAGGTGCCCAGTGCACAAACGGGCTTCCCAAGTCTGCTGCAGAAAACACCACAAACGTTAGCTAAAGACTACAAACAGGCTGAGGGACAAGCCCAAACCCTAAGCAGGAAGAGTCACAAAGGTCTCTGAGCAGTTACCACGGTCCCGTTTACGATCATGGTCCCGATCCCTACTGCGTTCCTTCTTTCGTTCCTTCTCCTCCTTGGAGGAGGCAAAGACACCATGTTCCCGACGCTCCCTTTCCCGCTGCCGGCTGCGTTCCCAAAACTCCTCACTGACACCCCCTGTGTAGGAAGGTGTTTCCACATGGACAGAACGGTAATGCCTAGAAAGGCAGAGCAGAGAGAAGAAAAGCTCAACAGTGCTGAGGAATAGCTGGCCTTTGACTTGCCTCATACAACTCTAGTTCTAACCTCTGCTATAGCAGAAGCTTACGGTTAAAAGTGCCCTCTCCATCCTTTGCTAACAGCCCACCAAGTCTGCTGATGCTCTCAGACACGTGCACGTCTGAGCAGGCCACTGCCTCCAGGCATCTGGAAGCAGACAGTCTCACGACTAGGATGACTGGTGTTTGCAGGCCTGACAGCATCTGAAAGCACTCTGCCCATAAAGCCTCAGGGAGGGCACCAGTGAAAGAGCTTTTCCCAGACCTCCTCAGATCTGAGAGGTGCCCCACAGTCCTCCCCCGAGGAGATCTCCAGACCTCCCCACCACACAAGAGGTTACAGCCCCACCTGTGTCAGGGCACAGCCCCCGCAGACACTGACAGTGCTCACACCCCACGCTCACGGTCGTTCCCTCCGGCAGGGATCCAACGACTGTAAAGCGCCCGGTGCCACCGCTAGCACCAGGAAGCCCCACACAGACCCCACCTGTCCTTGCGAGCGCTCCGGCTGCTCCGGTTGGTCTCCTCCTCCTCCTCCTCGTCCTCCTCGGGGCTGCCCACCTCATCACGGCCCTCTTCCCAGTCCTTGTAGGAGGAGACCCGGGACCGCTTTCCACCGGCCGCCTCTTCCTCCCGCTCCCGCCGCTTCTGGGCCGCCAACACGTCCAGGCCCAGCAAGGAGGCCCGTGGTGCCGGCGCCTTGAA